ACAAAATGTAAAATAAATTAAATGAATAAAATATAATGAATATGATATAATATAAATTAATGTGATATAATTCTCATAGACAGACTTGTTGAACTAAATAAAAAAAATTAGATTTTCATTTAATATGTCAGGATCAACATAATTAGCATTTTACATTTGCCTTAACGGAAGCAGTCCGAATTGCACAAACCCATGCACACAAGTAAGTCAGCAGGGATAAGCAGCACACTGTACCCTACACCCACTCACAGCCTCTGCTGATGACTGCCGTCATAGCAACAGATAGACATAACTACCCACCCTTACACAGAGTCCTGTATAGAGCAGAGCCTCACGCACATACACGTATCTCCAGTCCCATGTGGAGCCAGACACAGACATACTGCACAGGGGAGAAGAGGATAACAGAAAGCCGACACTCCACACATACAATACATTTCAGACATTAATGTTTACACACATTCTTATAGTACATTTCAACGGATCCACTGATGAAATGTGGCCCACAAGGACTGCTTAATACACTGTTAAAAGTAACGAAGCCTAAAAAAAAGGGAGTTTTATTCAAGTTTTTTATTATCATACAATAAAAAAAAGAAATATATATATATATATATATATATATATATATATATATATATATATATATATATATATATATATATATATATATATAAAATTAAAGAACCATTTTTATTCACAGTTTAAGGAACAATTTTATCAAAACAATCCTAACTTATTTCTTTTTCAGAGTCGATTTTAAAGGTTCTTCATAAAACCATTGATGCCAATAAAGGATCCTTCATTTTAAGTGTCTATAAACGCTTCAAATAGTCCCGTATGCTACTGGAACATGGTGCTGGTACTGGAACAGCGGTTGAGATTTCGACAGACAGAGTGACAAACATTTCAGGGAAGAGACTTAAGTGGGCTAACCACAGATGACTGACCACTTTTCTAGAAGCAGATGCTCGCTTCTCTCTTGGGCCACAGCTGAAAAGGGGAAAAAAAGGCAGGGAGGGAGTCAGCAGGGTTTTGAAACCCACTTTCACTTCCCAAAGCAAAAGGCTATTTCAATACAGCTCGTTCTAGTGCTTTGTTTCTCTCTGCCTGTACTGATAACTTTTGCTGAGTGCGAGCGTTCAGGATGAGGGCGTGTAGAGGAGACAAACCTACCAGTTCCAATTCAGGAACTGGAGTTCACCCAAAAGCGAAAATTTGCTGTTCATTTTTCCTCAGCCTCAGGCCATTCAAAGATGTAGGTTACTTTTTTCCTCAGGAGATCGTTAAAGAAGATTTTTAGCTGAAAACATGGTGCTTGGTGGTTCATAAAATGGAACTTAATACACGTTGAGAAGCTTTAAAATCTAAGAGAGAGTTAAATAACTACAGTATAAGCCTTTTTTTGTATAGGTTTGGTGCTAAAAAAAATAATGTCGGCAAGATTGTTGCAAACAATTTATGTGTTGAATTTAAACAAACAAATGAAATGTTGTAATATTCAGTTTAATTTGTTTCTTTAAATTCAGCCCAAATAAATTGTTTACAACCACATAACTTAAAATAAATTGAGTAAATCCAATGAATATTAAAAAAAAATAAAAATTTCAGTGATACTGCGTTAAACTGTTGAACAACCATACTGAAATTTAAGGGATAGTTCATCCAAAAATGAAACAAACTCGCTTTTTACTGACCCTCAAGTATTTTCAATCCTGTATGAGATATTTTGAAGAAAGCTGAAATCCTGTAACCATTGAGTAAATGACTTCAGCACTTTTCAAAATAACTTATTTTGTGTTCAACAGAAGAAAGAAACTCTTAAACATTTTAAACAAAGACCAAGTAAATGATGAAGAAATGTTAGTTTTTGAGTGAACTATCTCTTTAACGCAGAGATGCCCAAACTAAGGCCCGCGGGCCAAAGTTGGTCCGTGGTAACCTTTGATTTGGCCCACCTTCTCATCTGAGAAGAAAGGTAGAATGATGGCGATAGTTAAGAGATTGTCGAGTACAATTTTATGTAAGCTTATATTTGTTTTATTGTTAAGCAACAAAAAAAGCTAACTGTAGTTCAATGTTTCAATTTAAGTGATTTTAATAAGTCTTAATTAGTTTAAAATGTGCATACTGTCACCTGACGGACAGAGAACAATGCAGAGACTTTGGTGAGTGAATCAAGGCAAAGGCAGATTCTGCTTGGCTAGTGTATTCAGCATTCAACTCCACTGTAATAAATGCGATTATGTTTTTATGACATTTTATTGCAAGGCATAATTAAAAAATATTTCAGTATTAGGTAGTATGATTTAAAGGAATGTTTTCCATTTATTTATAAATATTATGAAATGAATTAGTAAATTACCTATTGCAACTTAAATGTTAAATAGTTTGGTATATTTATCTTCGGCCCATGACTTGTAATAATATTTGGTTCTTGGCCCTTCATACGAAAAAGTTTGGCCATCCCTGCTTTAACGAGTTCTTTTTAGTGTATATAGCACCCCAAAAAAAAAAAACCTTTGAAGACAAAATTGTGTGTGTACAGTAACAGTGTAATGTCTGTCTAGTGTCTACACTAATGCATGATAATGTTCTGTTTAAATGTTTAAATGCTTGTGCTCTTTAAAAGCTGAATGAATTCTAAAAGGTTGTCAGAATCATTCATCAACTGGAAACAAAATGCTCGGAAAGAGATTTCAACAATATATTTCATCCTTGTCTTCTGTATAAATGTGGAGGTGTTATATAACGCATACATGTGCTGCTACTCCTTTCTATTTAGAATGAATTTGAAAGCATTGTCTTTAATATTGTAACTATTATAGACTATTTTGAGGGATGTGAACGGAAACAATGGCCCCAACATATTTCCTGTTTTACATTTTTATTTCTATAGTTTCCAAGAATCCAAACAGCTCCACATATTAATAAATAATATTATGATAGCTGTTTTAACATTCAGTTATGATTGAATTGCCTCTTGTTAGTTAAGACATAGATTGATAACAAGCTGGAAATGTTCATTGGCCAATGAAATGACCACATTGAAATGGTCTATAGTTCCCAGTCCTGATGTGTTTTTTTTTTTTTTTACACTTTTGCATTTATTAATTAGAAAAAATCCCCAGCAGAAGCTGATTTTATGAAGTCTTGTATCCTTTGACAATACAATTATCATTCTGGTTTTGACATTTTGAAACAGGAAGTTTGAATAAGACATATTGAAGGCTTGTCTCTTTCTTGACAATAGGGTCTAATACTAATTGCCTGCTGGCGGGGGAGGGGCATGCTTAGAGTGCATCTGATTGGACACAAATCATTATAGTGCTGGATAAGTCATCAAAAAGTTTTGTTTGTTTTCCTGGAAAAAGTATTTTGAAAACTTTATTTTCAAGAGTGCACTTGAAAGTTTATGCCTTCGATATAAACAGATATGGAACAAAAAATAAATAAAAATTAAATGAGGTCAAGCTGTCCGGAAACTGAGCAGTTTTCCTGAAACATCAATAAATATGCGGAATTAAAACTTTTGAAAAAGGGTTTGAAAGCTCTTTTTAACTATTCCACACAACTGTTTGTAGATTCAGCACACTGCATGTGTATCTGTATGTTGTGTCTGAGCTGGACACACAGCACTCAGAGTTACACAAACGCACTCAGCTCAGCACAGAATGTCCAGGCTCACTGTTCACTCAAGGTCTCCTCCATCGCCCACAATACTTCATGGGCTGCAGTAGTATTTCTCTCTGATATCTTGGATGAGTTCTCCAGCAATGGAACTCACAAAGAAAGATTATTAATCATTTTCATTTAATTGAATTATTTAACCTTTATGCTGGTGAATGCTTAAATATTATCAATTAATTAAACCTGATAACAATTCAAATACTAGAGACTTGTGTTGTGTGTACATGTGTGTATTCATGACAAATCAGAAAAGAGATGCCACCTTAGTAAATCTGGTGTTCTAAGTGCACATGGAGTTTTTGTGTAGATTTTTTTTTTTTTTACTGTTAAGTCTGTCTAATCTCTTAGGAAATAGCCATGCTTGATGCAGAAGCAAAAGTTAATATTAGTAGAACTTTAATTTAATAAAACTCTACAGTCTATATACTAAAAATACATAATATATGATACATACAATAATCTCTTAATAGTCTTACAGTATGTTAATCGTTTCATTTACTTCTATTGTATTTCTCCTTAAGCATTGTAGGAGTAACTTCTAATAATATCCCTCCAGCTTTATGGAAATGAATAAATTAATCAACTCATCAAGGCACAGTTTTTCTTCTTTAATTAACTTAATTTTGGGATTTTTCGTGATTTTTTTAACACAGTTTTTCCATGCATGTACAAAGTGCAGTTTACATTTTTTTAAAGCTGAGAAAACATAATCAAAATGTAACCAATTTCACACACAGACACAAACACACATGTGCAGGTATGCGTGAAATAATCTTGCATGTACTGTATGTATAACTTGTATAAAGATTAGAAGAATGTGCATTTCCTGGTAAGCAGCTGTTTGATCTACAGGTATTTAATTAAATAAATAAAAACAACAAGTGCAATATCTCTATATCTGCCATAATTTTTATACGCTGGAATCTAGTTAAAATAATCAAAAATATATGCAAAAAATATGATGATGTCTATGATCTATATAAAATCTTATTCAGCAAACAATGATTTATTTCTGAAAGTATCTTGTCAGGCATGTTTAAAACAAGAACCATTTTATGAAATGTTTAAAAACTATTTAAGGTTTACGGTCAGGTAAAGGCTGTTCTGAACTGGTTTTGTCCTGCCTTCAACTTCTGTGTAAATACAGGATACTTAAAAAAAGGCCAAGAAATAAAATGCACCTGCCCTGCTCCAGCTCAGCCCAAGTGAATCAAGACAACGCCCCACATTCATTTGATGTATATTTTCATTTAAGAATAATATAAAATATTTTATCAAATATAATTGATATAAAGTGAATTCGGCTTTGTGTACTTTGTATGACATACAAGGAAATACTATATAAATAAATAACACAACGCAGTTACCTCCTGCCCAAAATTGGTTTCTATGTACTCGCGCTTTGTGTTGTTTTGGGCATATGGGTGCGTGCACTTCCTGGATCTGGACTGTCCCACCGCGAATGTGGGACATCGCTGTTAACGCATCCGTCCAACCGCCTCGTGGATCAGCTCAGCGCTGCGCCTCATCTCTCCCATTACCGCAGACTCCGGTGCTCCTCGTGGACGGGCGCGCGAATCTGCGAGCTCATTCAAACAGGTGGTGAGCGGTTTCAGGTGGAGCAGCAGCTCATTCACTGAGCGACCGGCGCAAGAGCTTCAACACGCCGATAGGACCACTTGCTTTCCGTTACAAGGACTCAATTGTGGCTGCTGCGCGTATTAACGCAATCTAACCGCCGTGCTTAGGTTATTTAGTCGAAGGACAGTTTGCTTTAATTAGCCCTCAGCTTACAGGTGGGCGAAAGCCGTACGTAGGACGGCCCCTCTTTCAGTTCCTCAACAGGAGACGCGGGACTGTCATTTGTTTGTCATCCTGTGGGACAGAAGAAACGGCTCCGTTAACAGGTGCGAGATCAAACAAAAAATACTACAAGGGAGTCAAGTCGTGTATTTGTGCAGTGAATAGGTTTAATTTGCATTCGCGGTAAATCAGGAGCTATCTCTTTATTAAAGCATTTTTTTCTTTCGAAGCCTCTTTCGTTCCGGAGGAGGACCGACAAAGCCATGTCAACCAAAAAACGGGTGGATTTAACGAGAAGGAGCCGAAGCCCCGCGGTGTCCGAGGCGGAGATGTTTGGTGATTTTCAGGAGTGGTGCCTTCGCACTTACGGGGACTCCGGGAAAACAAAGACCGTCACCCGGCGAAAATACAACAAAATTCTGCAGACCCTCTTACAGAGCGACGACTCGGAGGGCGTCATTATCGAGAGCAACCACATCAACGCCAAATTTAAGTTCTGGGTGAAATCTAAAGGTTTCCAGGTGGGCAGGAGCGAGAGCGAGAACGAGAACGGGGCAGCGGACAGACCGGTCCTGTACGTCCCCATCAAGGCAACGGTTAGTATGGGTGCCCTTCTCCCGTCTGCTTGTCACACGCGTAATAGTGCGCTATATTTGCCTATGCAAATCCTGCGCCACGCGCACAATGGCGCACATGTTTACGCATCGCTCGGCCGGTGAATCTCGTTTTCGGCTGTATGTGTGTAGTTGAGCTCATGTCACTTTCAGGTCTCTGATAACCACTTGTTCGTGTCGTGTGCCACTCCGCCCGGTATCCACGGGAACGGAGGCAGCTGTGCCACAAAATTGTCCCTGAGCTCTTTTTGTTACCACTATGTGCCACAGCTTACAGACAGCAATTTAATGTTATTAATATTAATAACATTTACAGCTAATAAAACTAATATGCATATTTCAACTAGATCGGGCATCGACACAGCCTGCTTGACCTGTTGTCCACAGGTTATCATTATTAAAACTAAATACTACATTTTCTTAGAATGGTGTCAGGAACCCAATGCAATTAATAAATGTTTTTCTTTTTCTTAGAGTGCTAGTTAAAGAGGTTAAACATAAATGAAATGTGCCTCATCAGTTCTTAAAGTGTATACACAGTTATGATGATGCTTCTAGTTTTTAAAAATAGTAGTTAAGTGTTACCAGCATGCAGCAAGGCATTTTGTTATCGTGTAAGATTTATGCAGATAACAGAGAAGGCAGATTTTAAGCCTCATGGGTGTTTAAGAAGTCTTTTATATAGTGACATGTTTTATTTATTCTAAATGTCAAATTGTACATATTGGAATGTTTTATTATTTTTTTGTCTTTTTTCACTTTATCAATTGAACTTGAGTAAACGTAAATGTATTCAGTGTTTATAAGAATATTTTATTACAATTCACTATGGTTATACAAATTAACATTTTCCTCTTCTTTCTTTTGTACATCCATATCTTTAATTAGTGGACAGTATGTAGGGTTAGATTGATCAATGTGTGTACAAATATGAATTTACACCAGTTTGCCTAAAAATAGTTAGAAATTGTTATTTTTAGTTATAAGTTGATGATTTTTTTCTTTGCTTGCGCTACTGGTTTATTGATTATTTTTTGCGCATAATAATGTGAATTCATTATGTTTGTGTATGTTGTTCTTATGCCAGGCTGAGACTCAGTCTTTTATAAATATCTCTGTGCATTGGTTCAATCTCATTCATACATTTTTGTAATTTTAACTAAATATCATTCATTGATTCATATTCTTGTCGGCTTAGTCCCTTAATATTGCGGGGTCGCCACAGCGGAATGAACCGCCTTAACTAAATTTAACTAAATATAAATATTTTACATTGGTTCAGTTAACTTGGGAATCCCAAGTCTCTTGTTTTATGCTCTGTTCAGTGACCTGAAGTCCTGTTTACATCTTACATTAAGATGCATTTGGTGGATCAGATCACAGTATGCTCATTGGGAAGGTGTCTGTTCTCTTTTTGATCAAATAATGTGAAATAAACATGGATACAATCACAAAAGGAGACATAGAAATCAGTAACAGTAGCTTTTGTTTCTGCTCAGATAGCCACCAATCTATGCTAAATAGATGGTTGGCGTTAAGCATGGAAAGATACAGTAACCGTTTTCAAGGTATATTGCGGATTGGAAAGGTCAAGGTTTTAAAACCCCAAGATTTCCCCCAAGATTTTCAGTGTTTTTGAAACTAATGAGGACAGAAGTCAATGATTGATTTAGAAGAATTATTGAATATTATTTGTATAATTGAATTATTTTTATTTTATTATAATATTAATTATTTAGCTTGACATCTTTACTGTTCCAAATGATTTTAAATCTTTCTCAAAATAAAATATATAGTGTTCAAAAAGGTAAAAAAGTAAATTTTTTTAACCAGACATTAAAAAAGAATTTTGTTTTAGAGCAGTAACCACAAAATCCTGAAACCTTGATATTTTCATTTAAGGTTATCAATCAGAATCTTACCCAGTTAAAGAACATTGTTCTTTTTACATTAAAACAAAAAAAGAATTTTCTAGTTTAAATCTCATTTGGCTAGAGCACTAGAGCAGCATGTCCCGTTATGTTTAAGAATTAGGTCAGTAGACAGAGAGTATGATGTTTTTTATGGCTGTTCGAACACGTGTTTTCAGCTAACTCTAGAAGTGGTTGAAAATGTACAAGCTTAAATTTTTTACTTCTGTATTTAGCATTGTCATCTATGTCATCTATGTTATTAGGTATGCTTTACAGAAACATTTTAATACCAGGTGTAGATTCTGGCGGTATGATAACCTTGGATAAAAATATCATGGTTTCACGGTATCACATTATTGTGAATACTTACCTCAAACATCTTCTTTTTAAATGTCTGAGGAAAACAGTTAAAAAGATTTAATTGTTTTATTTTAATACAATAGATTTTAATTTTTAAGAATTTAAAATATTTTGGAGCAGTAAACATGTAAGGCTAAATAATTAAAATAAATCTTTGACTTCTGCTATCTTCATTAGTTTAAAAACACAGAGTTCAAAAGTGTGGAGTTTGCATGTTCTTCCCGTGTTCATGTGGGTTTCCTCTGGGTGCTCCGGTTTCCCCCACAGTCTAAAGACATGCGCTAGGTGAATTGAATAAACTAAATTGTCCATAGTGTAGTGTGTGAATGATAGTGTATAGGGGTTTACTAATGTTGGGTTGCTGCTGGAAGGGCATCTGTTGCGTAAAACGTATGCTGGATAAGTTGGCGGTTCATTCCGCTGTGGCAAACCCTGATGAATAAAGGGACTAAGCCGAAAATGATGATGATGAACATAAAGTAAGCCACTCCATTGTTCTGGTCTATAGCATGCTTGGATGTCTTGTTTTGACCAGTAGCTTTTGATGTAAACGATCCTTTTATAGATACTGGTGCCCTAAAAAAATAATAATAATAATTTAAAAAGCAACTTAAATATACAGTAGGAACAGTATATTAGAAAATGTTGGCGGTTTTACAACCTTGACTTTTCCAAACCGCGGTAAACCTTGAAACCGGTTATTGTCACATGCCTAGTATAAACAGGGGCTGAGTGTTACATTTAGGGGTGATCCCTTATGCTTAATTTATGATGTGCTTAAAAAAGAAGTCTTAATTTCTTTCTTTCTTTCTTTCTTTCTTTCTTTTCTTTCTTTCTTTCTTTTTTTCTTTCTTTCTTTCTTTCTTTCTTTCTTTCCCATTATGAACAGCCTTTAGTGACATGAAATGAAATTCTTTCAGCATTTGCACTTGTATGTATTGAGAGGCGTTTTGCAGACATGATGCATGTGTTTAATAAGAACGACTCTTGTGCTTGTGTTATCTTTCTCCAACGATTAATCTTCATAATGTCTTTTTTTCTGAGCTAAGGAGTTAAGGTTTGGAGCTGTTGACTTTATTATAATAATTGACTAAACCCAAACACACCTGCTGATTTGGCTCCGTGAGACAATATGGCAGTGTGTGGTGGTGTTATTGGTTAAAAGACAAGTTGGCGGTGCGTGTTTGTGTGAGTGCAATAGAGAGAGAAGCAGAGGCGAGGTGAGCAGGTCAGCTCTCAACTGAACAAATGGAATAATGAGGAACCCAGATGGAGATTCATCTTCTGACCGTTTCACTGATAAAGGAAGGGAAACTGGTATGATGGAGAAGTTAAGATGGATGCGCCCTCCACTCGCTCTGTGTACCCTCATAATGAAGAGGCTGCCCCAGATTTGTCCTATTCAAATACTATTTTCGCTCACTCTCTCTTGCTTTGGGTCTGTGTGTGTGTGTGTGTGTGTGTTCTGCTTTCTATATGAGACGTGGCTCCCATTCAATTCACTCAGGGGGGCTAATTGACAGGAATAGGAAGAACCAGGAGTGATTCTCTCACTGTTCGATTAACAGCACAGGGACTGCATTGCAATGTGCATGCAGGTAACACAAGATCCTGATTGCATATCTAGACACACCAACCACTGACAAATGGCTCTGACCTGTTGGTGAGCTCAGTTTAAAGCTAACTTAAAGCTGTTGCAGGACTTGTCTCGCAGTGTGTTCATGTTATATGCATTTTTTGGAGATTGTCAGTTTTGTGTGGTGAAAAGTATGTAATTTTAAATAATTTGAACTTGTAAAAGGTGACTTGATGACCTTTTTGGTTGAATTTTAAAGGAATAATTTAGTTCATAATGAAAATTCTGGTATTTATTCACCTTAATGTTGTTCTAAGCCCATGTTTTGTTATATATTTTTTAATGAAGCATAAAGTTAGATAATTCTCTAGAAAAGGTGTGTGTATAGTTTCCATACACCAACAATATGCATAAAGTCTTGTAGGAATTTATGCATAAATGCAGATAATATTGACTGAAACATTGGTCAGTCCATCACATAAAACTATTGAATGGCAGAAAGAGATATTTTATTAATATTAAATTGTTATAATTGGGCAGCTCAGTGGGTTAGCACTGTCACCTTTTTTGCATGTTCTCCCCGTGTTGGAGTGGGTTTCCTCTTGGTGCTCCGGTTTCCCCCACAGTCCAAAGACATGCGTTATAGGTGAATGAGAGTAATTGGGTGTTTCCCAGTGCTGGGTTGCAGCTGGAAGGGCTTCTGCTGGGTAAAACATAGTTGTCGGTTTATTCCGCTGTGGCAACTTCTGATAAATAAGGGACTAAGTCAAAGAAAAATGAATGAATGATATTGTTATAATAATTATTATAATTCATAATTATTAGCTAATAAAAAATCTGAAATTAAAAATATTTTATTTAAAACAAACTGCATAAAACTTCTAAAAATGAAAGTGAAATCTGAAAGATTAAAAAAACCTCATTTATTTAAAAAAAAATAGCTAAAAGCTCATAACAGGTCATGTAAAGATAGGCTGTTCTTGTAATTTTTAAATGTAGGCAATATCAGATTCCAGTGTGAACTGAACACAATGCTGAAGAATTACGGTAGTCAACACAACATGAAGTCACTCTGAAAACTGTAAAAGAAGTCTTCGCAGCCATGCATATTAATGAAGTTGCATCTCATTCTC